CGAAACCCCCTAAGCCCTGCAAAAGCAAACAGACATTTCCGCCCTGGAAGGATTCTGCATGTAAAAGCCAACGTGGAAATGCACACAGGCTTGAGCAGTGGGAGATATATCAGGGTTCTCCCTGTACAGCAAAGGGGTGACTGCAGATTCGTCCATCTCCTCATCCTACCTGCCTCTCCCAGCATCGTTTTCAGCCACTTCTCAAAGCTTCACAGCCAGGCCACACTCAGATCTGCATTCATGCATTAAATATTACCAAAACAACAAACCCACACTGGTCTAAGGCTTGAGAAGTGCAAGCACAATGATGCTTTGCTTTTCCATGAGGAGAGCGTCCAGCAAAGGACATTGCAGGGCATCACACCACATGAAGCCATTTGAGAAGACGCCGCGTTGGGAGGGAACAAGGAGCCATCGTTCAAGCACAGCACTGTTTTTCACTTGGGTTTGCCTCTTTACTTGGGTGACTCCCACCCATGACACCTGTACTGCCAGAAAGGATTTACCCCGAGGAAAACACCCGTCACCAACCCATTGGCTCCCAAAGCAGTTGCCCACCTCACCATGGAGAAGGAGTGGGGGTTGGGGGGGAAGCGCTAAACAAGAAACATTAAAACTTTTGTTTTCATCAGAGAAACTGCCAAGTGACAGCAGTTTCAGGTTACACCCTAAACCTGCCTTGCTATGGTAGTTTTTCAAATTAAAATATCTTCTGTGGCCTCAGCCACTCTCAAGCCGTCCATAGGCAAGAAAGAAAGGAGGCAGGGCAACACTTAAGCTCAGCCATAATTGGAAGTATGTGAAAAATGAAGTGTCAGTTCGGTCAATAAAGGGCAAAGGTGAAGGGGAACTGCAGCCCAAACTCGGTGCGAAATGTGCTCATTAAGACACCCAATCCGCGGGCTCCTGCCCACCTATCCCATTAGTCATCGGCCATCTGACCGCTTCAAATGCCTCCCCGCTCTTATTACTTTTCTTCTCCCATGTTAGAAAAAAAAAAGGGGGGGGGGAGGAAAAAAAAAAAAGGAGAGCTGGTATATAAATCCTTGCTCAGTCATCTGGAACATAATGTGGCCCTTCTCTCCCCCTCTTCCCGGCTCTGCCGCCTGCCTTTGCAGCCTCCAAACAACCGCCTGGAGATTCCCGGCAATAATAAACCCGATTGCCTTTTTGCCTATAGGTTGCTCGAACTCCTACAAAAGCCTGGAAAAAACCCCCCAACATTGCAGCCATTGATACATTTTTATAAAGAAATATTGCTGCTTTCTACTCCTGGCTTGAAGGAGCAACAATTATTTGGAGGTTAAAAAAATGTTTTGAACTCAGGCTGAGGCCTGGACAAAAAAAGAAAACGGGAAAGAAACAATACGCACAAATAGGTGACACTGATGGATTATTTTGCTTTTTCTTTTAAACCATGTAGGAGAGCTAAACATGGGAAATAAAGAGCCACACTCTGGATTAAAAGTGACTGTACCAGGGCTTTGTTCAGCATTTTCCTGGCCCCACTGTCTGAAAAACAAACAAAATAGATTTCTCAATACACCAAACAGGAATCTTTTCAAGTTAGAAGATGCAATAAGAAAAATAGTGCTGCCATGAGCTCAGCATCACCTGCCTGTACATAAGGATTTGCTTCTATTCTTTTAAATAGAATTTAGCAAGTTGTTTCTCCACTCCATAAATTCAGATCTCTTTGCACCACTTGGAGACAGACCTTCAAAGGCCCTTCCCGTTAAGTTCAGAGCAATGGGAAAACTTTTTCATAATATTATTCTGCATTCCTGTGCTATAACTATCCCCTATGATGACACAATACCAGGCCTTTAGAAGAGGTTGTGTCAACGTACTATGCAATAACATACCCTGCTGTTCAGTGGCACGAGACCCCAGAACAGCTTCCTAGCAGTTAAATATGGATTTCTACAATAGATCGAAGCAGCTGGGAGTCATTACTATTTACTAAGTAAATAAATTTACATGTTAAAAAAGACTTTAAAATGTCTACAGGAAAGAACATCTCTCCTGTTTTCAAAGGCAATCATTCAATGTGTGCTGCATATCATGACATAAATAGGTTAAAAACACACTTTGTAAGGATTTGTAGTGATGAGCAAGGTAAAGAAGAAAAATCTCCAAAAATAGACCTTAACATAGCCTGGGTTAAGGACTAAGGGAGAAAAGTCTTGCTAAAGGGCTTAAGCTTTCCAGTCTGTGTGCTTCTCTGAAAATGCAAAGCTTACACGTACATCCTTGTGATACTTTCAGCCAGGTTGGAAACCTGGCTCAGAAGGTGCTTTTACCTTCCCCAACTAGGGAACTAGGCTGTGAGAACAACCTAAAACCAGACAGTTTTAGAGGGTTTTATTTCTGGTGATCAGATTTGCCTTTTTTTTTTTTTTTAAATGGCAAACGTGCTCTTGACAGATGGAACCAAAAGGAACTTTTACAAACTCCTAAAAATAGGGAAGCCCATAATATACTGAATATATGTCATGCAACACATGCATCTCGAGTTAACTCCTATGCTCTCAAGCACAAGCTGAGGTCCCCAGCCTTTCGCTGCCACCCCTCCACAGCACCCGGTCTCTGTGGCAGTGCCATGCTGGCTCCTTCTGCTGCCAAGAAGAGCACCCAGCAGAGGTAAATACAGGAGTTTAACCACAGTGTTGCGCTCCTAACATCAGGCCACAGAAGAAAAGCCATCAAATCACAGCATTTGGAAATTTAAAGCAGCTGAGGACAGGCAGGATATTTGCTATCTTTTTCTTCTCTTCCATTTTGGTCCCTCAGGGTTGTATTTTTTTTTACTTCTTCCCCATAGGGAAAGGCTAAAAATCATGCTTTGTTTTTTGGTTTTTTTTTACCAGAAGGTGTATATGCAGCTGTGAGTGTGCTTAAAGAGATGAGATTCCCCCATAGTCTCAACCTTCAGAGCGTTTCACACAAACAAGACATAAAGCAAGGCTCAGCCAAACCACTGCTACCCTTCCTACATTCCTGTTCCTCAAAACCAATGTCATTTCCACAGGTGGCAAGTGGCCTGAAGGCAAGCCTTAGTAACAGAGACCTTCTGGACAGGGTCTCCTTTCCAAAACACCTTTCCCAAATTTGACCTGAGAGCTCCAGTTAGCAAATTCCCTCTTTCTCTTTTTTACTCTTCCCTAAAGTTTGAATGAGCCTTCTTCACGAAACACATCTATCAAGCACTGGCAGCAATTCCAGCCTCAATAAACCACTGGGATTTGGGTAAAAGTTTCAGAACTGGATAAAGCATCAGTGACAAGTCCTTCTGCAGATATTTAGTAGCACTCAGGCTTGAAACTCACTTTACAAAACCCTTCCTGACTGAGTTTACAGCATGCACCTTGCTAGGAGCTGACCAGGATGGCGATGATAAGACATCAGATATGACCGGCACTCCAGACTACTAAAATGTCATATTTAGGAGAAAACGGAGCCTGAAAAAAATCTTTAAAAGTACACCAGGAACTGAGTATCTCGATTTCCAAAGCAGTCTAGGAGCAAGCTGGCAAGCCTCCCCACAGCTGTTTTGTCCACGCACATATCCACATAAACACACGCACATCCGTCTAATAAAAGGAACAGCCCTATCCAAGTACAAAAGCCCTCTCAAAACACCATGTTTTAGTTCAAAGCCTATTTTTTTGCAGCAGCCTTTTCACCCTTAAAAAAACCCCATGGATTTAAAGTTTGCTCCAAAAGCAAGGGGCTATAATGAACATGTTGACACCACTTCAACTACAGCATTGTGAACAGCATCACTAGAATATATACGTATACATACTTGAAAGAAAAAAGGCCCCCTGAATTTATGTTGCATATCATTTTCCAGTAAAAGTCAGAGGTCAGAAGGTTACCAGTTTCTGCCTCAGCTCTGCAACAGTTTACTATTCCAGGCCCCATTTTTACTAGGCTGTACTTGCGATGAAGTCAGCAACTTTTCTTTAAACAATAACGAGTCTCGAATACTTAAAATTCTATAAAGAGATGTACGTTAGGTCCATGCATATAAAAAATTAAAATATACTGGTTTAGTTTAAAAACTAATCTTGTTAAATGCAGACTTTGCAATGCTAATCAGTACTGCTCAACCTTTTTTTGGAAACACAATTCCTTTGTTGTCTAACAGCACTTGAATGAAACATGATCATAAAACCAGATTTAAAAGTATATACCTATTGTGAGTTCAGAGTCAACTTCAATAAAGCACTCTCTTTTATATTCAGATTAAGGATCCTTTTTAAATTTTAATTGCATTAAATTAACACAAAATCCGCTGCAGTTGGTCTGTTCAGAAAAACTATGAAGCATTCAAACAGCTTCTTAGAAAAAAAAAATCCAGAAATTCAGCTTTTTAGATTTCAGAGTTTCTGAGACAGCACTGATTATTTGTAGTATGCCCCACTTCCATTGCACCAAGCTCATTTCATACTTGCCCTGCTAAATCAGCTACTCTGCCCTGACACTCAAACAGAATGTTTTTGCATTCAATTAAATTGGAATTGAGTAAAAAGAAGTAAATAAAAGCATTGCTCAGGATTTTGTCAAATGGGCCAGCTAAAATTTCTCTTCTTTATATGCAGTGAAGTTTCTAAGGCATCTTTGAAATATTAGCGTGCATTTCTACAATCTTAATTACATTTGGTTTTTAAAATTTCATCTTTTAACCCATTTGAATGAAGGAAAAAAAACCAAACCCTTCTCAATTCTTATTTTTATTAAGCATACTGCAAATTTGGTACATATGTTCCTCTAAAGTGTGCCTGCTGGCAGGGTCGAAGAAATAAAGATACCAATCCCTTTACTAGGAGGAGATGGAGAAAAAAGTGTCAAAATAAAAAAAAAAAAAAAAGGAAGATAGACCTTTCTCAGCACAAAACCCCTGGTACCAGAGCACATTTCAACATCAGAAAGACAGTAACCAGTCCCTTGAGCACATCTTGCCAGCTAAGAAAGCGTGAGGGCTCTGTTCCTACCTTGCTCACTGCTGTTGTCCCCGCTGTGCGATGTGTGTCCTCCGCTGGAGGGTCCGGGGGTTCCCCCAGAGCGCGTTGATGCTGTGTCATCGTGGTCTCTGTTCCAGGAGGG